AGAAGGAAAAAAGTAACAGAGTCACAAATGCAAAGAAATAGCAGAAAATAGTGGTCAAAATGATACTGCATTTGAGTAGTTCATTCTATCTTTCAAAATATTTCATGTCATTATGTCAAAATATTCCATGGACTATTCTAATGTTACAAGAATGAAAACAAAAAACAAAAATTCCTGTTCTTGTGAAGTTTATATTAAAGTAGAAAAGAAAAACCAAGATACAAAATATAAACAAACAAAATACATAATGTGCTAGATGGTGATCAGTGCAATCCAGAAAAATGAACCAGGATTCTCTACTATTTAGTTTCAATTTATTTTAGAAAATGTCTTGCCCGTGAAGCCCTATATACAAATAACTTCTGTGAAAACTGTACATTGGGTTATAAGCCATAAAAGGTCCAAAATACACAACTGTGATTTACAGTGATGACATTTCTTATTTTCAAAATTGTATGGCTTCTCATTTACTTACAAAAAATTAGCTCAGTAGTCTACAATAAAATGTATACATGTGAAAGTATATCACCTTACACATCTGTGACTAACAGCTGATTATCAATATATTTTTCAAGTTAATACAACATACAAAACTTAAATAACTATACTGAACTGAAATTATTGTGTGCCTGACAAGCTCGTAAAAAATTCGGAACTTTAAATTTTCTGTCCAATTCTAACACTGCCACCATCCCCAAAAAACTATTCTTTTAGCTCCTAATTATGTAGAATAGGGGCCCCTCCTCTGTACAGAATGAGAAACTGTTCAGGAGAAACCAAAACAGAAAAGAAAGCTTAGAAAGGGAATTTTCATTCCCTTAAGAAACAATACATTTTCAACAGACTTCATAACCTTTCAAGTGATAAAAAGGTATCCTGAATGGAAAACTAATGTATACAGCTAATGTTTGGGTCAAGCTCAAAAGTCATTTAACTGAAGGTATTGACTAACCAAGACCACCTGTACCCAATACAATGATAAATTACAAAAAGCAAGAAATTCAAAGCAGCTCTACTTCATCAATATCAGCTCTCAAAATAACACTGACCAAAGTAAAAAAGAACAGATATTCAATAATAAAGCTATATGCAAAAGTCTAAGAAGTGGTATGTTCACTTGTTAAAATGGGACTGGTAAACCGAAAAAGCATCCTTAGTTTTTATTAAATAATTCTGGTGGCATGACTTATAGTAATGTACAAATAACTAACCCACTAAGAAAACCGCCAAATCAGAGACAAATTGGAGCTTCTTTAGAGGCCTGTCCGCTGAAATCTATTGAGACTTTGAACCCTTATGGAATATTCAGTACAAAAAAAAAATCATCATCCCACTGTGTCAGAAAAATAACAGTGTTAGGACTTTATTACTTTCTCACACTTCCCAGACACTATTAAAGGAAAGTTCTAGCACTGGAGTAAATAAAATAACCCTGAATATAAAAATACATTCTGAAATATTAGTCTATCGTTGGGCCTCAAGTCTGAATCTGATTAATGGTTTGCAAACACTTTCAATTAAGCATGCACAGCTGTCTGGTAACTCTGATGAAAATCTTGGAAACTGGCTAAAAACATCAAGAGAACTAACTGAACAAAGGTGAGCACTGTTCCTAACAAATCCATAATTCAATCTATGGTGTCAGTGTCAAACAACTGCTTTTAAGTTTCAGTAGCATAAATTAATCCAACCAAGGGTTCAAGTATCACTTTACATTGCTTGTTAAACTTCACATTCAGATGTACAACTTTAGGAATATAAAGTTTATTCTTATAAACTTTTTTAAAATAAATTGTACGTAAGTGCCTAAACTAATTCTGCTATGTAATCTAATATATAAATTTAGACTGAACTACCTGACAGCTCAAGAGGGTTTCTAAATCCAAGTTATTCCAGGAAGACAGCAATCAATCATGTGTGGCAATTTAGCATATTTATAAATCTTAACAAACAACAAAGAAATAATTCACCAGAAAGCAAATTAAACTTACAGCCAAAAAATCTGAATGGCTTTTATGTACAGAGATTAATGGTTTCACTACATTTTCTAAAAATAAAATTACAAAAATGAAATAAAAAAAGACACTGAGCCTACCATCTTGCACAAAAGCAAATGAATAAAGGGTCAAGATACTTTTTCATTTTTACAGAATCACATCATGCGTATTAAAATGGCAGTTAATAAGAGCTATACATATTATTGCTTTTAAATATATTTCAAAATTTCACAACAGTTGTCCTCAATTGTATTATCACTAGGCAGAAGATACCTTATGATAATGACTACAGCAGGAAAAGACAAGGTTGCCAAAGATTAACAAATGCCGGAAACATTAAGTCAATATTCAAAGTACCAATTCTGGTACTGTATACCTAGTAATGCAGCATAAGAGCTGATGGAAGGGGAACAATATGAAAATAAAATGATTAAGGACTTTATGAGTATTTCTTCCATGTGGTCAACTTTAAATAGGAATAGACATAATTTTAAATAACCGTGCTATTATGCTGCAAGAACAAAACATGGAATGCCCTCTGCAACTGCCCAGAGCACTTTCTTCTAACAAGAGGAGGATGAGACATGATGTTTACCTATAATAAAACATCTAAGAAATTAAGATAAAGATTGCTTGATTTCTCAATTATGACAAAATGAATCTTTCTTCCAAATTTTTACTTTTAAAAAGGTAGTGTAAATCTGAAAAAGCATTTATCATCAAAGCAAGAATACAAAATTCAATTATAAATTCTACGGAGCTTTACAGCAATTAAGCAGTTGTTCAAAATCTTTTCATGCACTCCAGAGAGTTACTCTAAGATGAGATCAGAAGGCAAATTTCAGACAATTTCTTTATTATTTTGACCTCTTTAATTTGAAGACAACTGATTTCTTAAAGATATTTTAATGGAGTTTTCTTCCCCCCTTTAAAGTTTTATATTTTATCTTATAAAATATACATAATCAATATGCAAGCTTTTAACTTTAAAAATAAAAAATCTTCAAATCTACATGTGCTGGTATAATGTGTGCATGGACATAAATTCTAGAGACTTTGTAATGAATCAGTGCAAGAGCTGATTACTTTTAGACAATGGAAAAGTCATTTTGAATTAATACTAAAATAAAACACTAGGACACTGAACAAAGCGTTTAGACTCAGTTTTCAACTCACAGAAAGATTCATAAAGACTTTTAAGAAATCAGAAATCTCTACCCTCTAAGAAATTATATTTCATAGGCCAATAAATCATATCCATCCAATCCATTGAGATGTGAATACATCCTGGAAATACATGAGAAATTCTGAAACATAGCCAATATTAGCACAACTATCAACATCAACTTTTAGAAGTAGAATTCAGTCTGAAGACAAGCAGAGTAATTTTTAAGATTGCTTCTTGCTTAATTGAAAAAGGATCAGAGGTGTATACAATGATTCAGAAAACAGTTCTAAGCATATTTCCTTTATCTGTATGTGATCTTTGTATATAAACTACAACTAAATGACTGACAGAAGGAACTCACTGGCCAAAACATCCACACAAGTCAACATGGCTTTTTGTACCATTCTTCCTCTATTGTAATTCTAAAACTCTCCCTATGAAACTCATCACTGTCGTGAAGTCAGGCTAACAAGAGAGTGTTTTTCTGTCCTCTGAGAACTATCACTAGGCTTACTTTCTAATATGCAAGTAGTTCCTTAAAAATTTGGGTCACTGGGGCTGGGGATGCAGCTCAGTGACAGAACACTCACCTAGCATGCACAAATTCCAGGATTTGATGCCTAGCACCACAAAAGAAAAAAAAGCCTGAGTCATTCAAAATTAGGACACTTCAGATCTTTTTTTTAAATATTTTTTAAGTTTAATAATGTTGGCTGTGAGAAATTAAAACTACTGATAAGAAATACTCCTTGAAAACATTCAGGGATTCAAAATCTCTCCTTCTCCCTACTCTTATTAAGCATAAGCCAATGTCAACTTTTCTTCCTGTCAACTGTGGTTATACATACAACATATACACATCTAAAAAGCTATTTCCCAAATCAAGGTTAGGGAAGGTGTTTGAAGAAAGGGAAACCTAAATTCCAATAATAATTTGCTCAACAAGAGAGGTAAGACTCCGAGGGAGTTTGTACCAGAATAAATAAATAATCATATGTGTATATATACAATATTTGTAGAAATAAACTGTCTCTTTGTAGTTGTTGTTACATTTTTGTTTTCAGTTGATCGTATTATTGTTATGGCTAGCAAGTAAAGAAATTATAGCTGGACATGGTAGCTCACACCTGTGATCCCAGGTAGGCGGAAGGTGTAGGTATGTCTGTCCAAGGCCAATCTCAGGCAAAAACCCAAGGCACTATGTGAAAAATAACTAAAGCAAAAAAGAGCTGTGGACATGGTTCAAGTGGTAGAGTGTCTACCTAGCAAGTCTGAGGCCCTGAGTTCAAATCCCAGTACCACAAAAAGAGAGAGAGAGAGAAATTGCATTCTCTTATCAATAATATCAAATGTGGGGGGGAAAACCTTAACGTAAACAGAATGGGAAATTATAATAAAATAGAAATTCAATCTGTATTAAAATCTTAAAACTCTCAATCTTTTAAATAGGCAGCAAGGTCTCCTAATGAGAGAAAACAATTAACACAAGAATAACAGGAAAGTACTGCCATAAAACAAACCCATGAATCTAAAGTAAGAAAGAAAACTTTCTTCAATAATTCTAATAACTGACACTTCCTATTAAAAAATAAAGTTACTTGTTAAAACTGAGACTAGAACCAACATAATTTTCTAAAATATATGTAAATAAACATTGCAGTGCATTCAACAATTAAAATCTATGAATTTAAAATTCAAATTACAGTATTTTTGACTCAGAACTCCGTATGATATAAAAAATAATATCTTGCTTATAATGCTTTGCATTCCCAAGTAGTCACAGGGAAAAACCCTCTATGGATTCAAAGTTAATTTATCTTTGTGGGTGAACTTACTGTTTTGTGACCATTCTGGCAGGCCACATGCAGCGCTGTCTGCCCCATTGCATCCTCAACATCAACATCACTGACGTGTTGCACAAGGTCATGGAGTAGTTCTGTCCGCCCATTCACAGCCAGCCAGTGTATCTGCAAAGTCATTCAGTTATTAGCATTTGTGCAAGTGTTCATTTTAAAAAGCAGATAAGTAATGCTATTATTTCTCAATTCAGCATGTTATTCAAGCTAACAATATTTTAAGTCCATACAGGTTTTCCCAATTATTTATTTATTTATGGTACTGGGGCTTGAACTCAGGGCCTACACCTTAGCCACTCTGCCAGCCTTTTTTTGTGATTAAGTTTCTCGAGATAGGGTCTCACAGACGACTTGCTTAGGATTAGCTTCAAACCACGATCCTCCTGATCTCTGCCTCCTGAGTAGCTAGGATTATAGGTATGAGCCACCGGCCCCTAGCCAGGTTTTCCCTTTTATATAAGAAAAATACATGCACCAAGATATAGGTTATACCACAGTTTATTATAAAATCAAAAACTCAATGGCTCAAAATAGTAAGTATCCTAGGTTTAGGATGACCAAACATGCTGCTTCTTAGACAACCCTAGACTTTAAGTATTGCTTATCTCTAGAAAAAAGCATTGGATATTTTTTTCCTTTCTCAGAAACAAACATAAGTTAAAAAGTAATTAACATAGTAGTTCCATGTTCTTTACTTCCTATATTTATAAATAGCAAATATATCTTACTTAAATACTCAAATATATAAGGAGAAAATAAGAAACATAAAACTCCTGTAAGTCTACCACTGAAAGATAATATTAAACTTTAGACTAAAAGGGTTAGATGTGGTGGTTCACAACTTCTAATCCCAGCTACTTGAGAAGCAGAGATAGGAGGATCACGGTTCAAAGCCAACCCAGGCAATAGTTAGCAAGACACCATCTCAAAGAACAGTTGGGCATGGTAGTACACATCTGTAATTTCAGCTCGGCAGGAGACATAAAAAGGAGGATAGCAATCAGAGGCTGGTTCAGGCAAAAAGCCTAAGACCCCATCTGAAAAATAACTGAAACAAAAAAGGAATAGGATTGTAGTTCAAGTGGTAGAGAGCTTGCCTAGCAAATACAATGCCCTGAACTCAAACTCCAATACTGCCAAAAACAAACAAAAGAAAACTTTTAGACTAAGAGGAGCCAAGAGTATAGTTCAGTGATAGAATCTGTGCTTAGTATGTGTTAGGCCTTGGGTTCCATCTTCAGCATAAACAGAAAAAAATATTTTGGATTATATATTCAAAGTCCAATCCATGTATTTGTCATTTGATTTGTTTTCCAGCTAAAAAAAAATTAAGCCAGGTATGGTGATACATGCCTATAATCATAGCACGTAGGAGGCTAAAACAGGAAGATCTTAAGTTTGAGGCCAACCTGGAATACATAGAGAGTTAGCAGCCAGCCTGGGCTAGAGATATCTGTTTCAAAAAAACAAAAAACTGAATAAATATATATTAGGACACCCTTGTTTTTAAAAAGCTGGTGGAGTGGTTTTAAGTGGTAAAGCAAGCATGAGGCCACTACTGCCAAAAAAAAAAAAAATAGCAGATTGTGCATATCTGTCAGCTTCAACAAAACCACACTGAAATAATAGTAAAAGAATATTTTCTTAAAGAACAAAAGCATCAAGACATAGGAGAAAAATACAATTTTTGAAGTTGTAAAGCAAATAATCCTTTCTACCCTGCCAGAAAACACATATTGACTTATCAGAACAAAAAGCAGAATTCTAAGCTAAGAAGGCATGTAATTCAGATCACAAAACCCCTAAAGGTTTCAAAATAAGCACTATTCAGCTCTTGAAGTAGGGGTGAAAGATGGGTTAAGAACAAATTAGACAAAAGTGTATTAAGTAATATTTAGACCTAAAGATACCTATCTCTCTCTGTAAGAACAATGAAAGATCCTAACTAATCTGACAGACTATAAGAAACTTGAGGCTGGAGTTGTGGCTCAAGCAGGAGAGTGCCTGCTTCGCAAGTGCAAAGTCCTGAGTTCTAACTCCAGTCCCATCAAAAAGAAGAAAAAGAACTACCACTTTACCTGGGTACTAGGAGCTCACTCCTATAATCCTAGCTACTTTGGAGGCTGAGATTAGGAGGATCACAGCTTGAGGACAGCCCAGGAGAATACTTCATGAGACTCCATCTGCAAAATGGTGTAGAGGTGTGGTTTTAAGCAATAGAGCACCTGCTTTGCAAGTGTGAGCCCCTGAGCTCAAACCCCAGACCCACCAAAAAAAAAAAGAAACTTGAAAACAAATACATAGATGAAGGACACAAGGCACACGGAACCAAGAGTACCTAACACATTAAGAAGAGAAGATTAAATAAATGCAAGTTTACATCTTGAATGTGAAGATCCCAAACCATTCTTCCCTAAAATCCAGACTGCTAATATCTTGTTGGAAAAACCTCTCTGAGTAATTTGATCAGCTCAAAAGTGACCACCTAAAGAATCCTAAGAAGGAGCCTAGAGGCAAATGTCCAGGCAGATCCCCTTACACTGAAGCCTCCAGTGAACAAACTTCATCCATACAGAGGGGGCTTTCAAATAGCTCTCTCATGTTCCACCAAATACTTGACAGATGCATTTAATTGAAAGACAAAATAGTAAACAAGCAAGAAAACACACACACACAAATCTTCAATAAAGAAACTATTTTTAATACTCTAAGAGAGAAATGATGATCACATCCTTAAAACATGAACAGGATAGTATTATTTTAATGATGGGGGAAGTAAAGAACTTTTAGAAATTAATCATGTACAGGGACAAATGCCAAAGATGACTTAGATAATAATGTTGAAGAAGTCTCTCACAAACCAAAAACAAAGAGACATGGAGAAACAAGAGAAAATGTAGTAAAATTACTAGAGGAATTAGTCTAAAAGGTCTACTATTTTAAGAATAGAAATGAAGAAGTGGAAATCATCAGAATCAAATTTGTATCAGTTTCTAGGTTGATAGCTCTTAGCCAAATGGATTAAAAAAATTATCCAGTCGAACTGAAAAAATAAATCCAAGACATATAGTGGTCCTTAGAATACTAAGGACAAAGTAGATTATATAAATTTCTGGAGGAAAAAAACAGGTTTCATAGAAAAAATCAAGAATCAAAATGGCACCAAACTTTACTACTGAAAGCTAAACAACAAAGTAACTCTTTCAAAATACTAAGGGAAAATTATGTTCAACCTAGAATTTTATTTCCAGTTAAACTGTCAATTAAATATATGGGCAGATTCAATGACTCAAGTCATATTCACACATGCAAGTTAGCAACAAATTTACCCGCTTTTTAGAAAGTACCAGAAGATGTGCTCCAGCAAAATGAGAGAACAATTATCAGGAAAGATAAGACATGAGACTCATTTAATAGAAAACACAAAGCAAGTGAAAGATAACAGTAATCTCCAGCATGGTACTGAAGAAGCATTCTGAACAACTGTGTAGACCTAGAAACCAACCAATGCAGCCTGGAGAGGACAGGGGTTTCCGTCCGATAAGACGATCCTTCAAGACATAATCAAGAACATGAAATGAATACATTTTAGGAGGAAATTTACAAAGAGCAGTAAGTACTCAGCAAACTTAAAAACTAAAATAAATAAACCAGGCATAGTGGCACAAACCTGCAATCCCAGCACTGAGGAGGCTAAGGATGGATCGTGTGTTTGATGCCACCCTGTGCTACATAGTGAGGCCTTGTCTCAAAAAATAAATAAGCAAATAAACAAATAAACAAGCTTCAATAAGGTAAGAAATGGACATAAAAGATGCTGAGATTGAAAAGGAAGAAATAAAACTATTTATAGATGTTATCTATTCAAAAAATCCCCAAGGAACCCTACACCCCCCCCAAAAAAAACTGTAGATGTGAGTTCAGCAAGTTGCAGGATACAAGATCAAGACACACACACATGCGCGCGCGCGCACACACACACACACACACACACACACAGCATTTCCATATACTAACAATGAACATGCAGACACCCAAATTAAAAACACAATACCATTTACAACTGCTCCAAAGAAAATGCTTAATGAAACATGCACAAAATCTCTTAGCTGAATTGTGCAAAATGCTAACAAAAGAAATCAGACCTAAATAAGTAGAGAGACACACTGTGTTTATAGTGTAGAAGAGTCAAGATAGTAAAGATGTCAACTGTTCCCAAACTGGGCTATCAGTTTAATGCAATTTCAATCAAAATCCCAGCAAGTTGTTTTGGGGGGTTTTTTTGTAGGCATAGACAAGTTTATTCCAAAACTTATATGGAAAGGCAAAGGAGCTAGAAGAGCTAATACAATCTTGACAGAGAAAAGGTGGGAAAAATTAGTCTTCTGATCTTAAGGCTTCCTGTATACCTATAATTATGAAGTCAGTGTAGTACTGAGAGAGAGACAGACACATAAGATCAACAGCATGAATTCAAAGACCAGAAGAAGCCCACACAAATATACCCAACTGATTTTTGAGAAAGACACAAAATCAATTTCATGCAGGAAGGACAGCCTTTCAACAAGCAATTCTAAAGTAACCGAACATTCACAGGTGAAAATAATGAACATCAATGTAAGCTTCATATCTTATACAAATATTGAAAGAAACTGCAGACATAGATGCACAACATAAAACTATTGTACCTTTAGGAAAAAAAGGTAGGAGAAAATCTTCAGGATCTAAGGCTAGGCAAAGAGTTCTTTAATTTGATACAAAAAGCATGATCCACAAATGAAAAAAACTAATAAACTGGATTTAACAAAATTAAAAACTTTTGCTCTCCAAAAGACCCTTGTTAAACAGGGCATGACTGCACACACCTATCATCCTAGCACTTGGAAAGTGGAAGCAAGATCAGAAGATCACAAATTCAGGGCCAGCCTAGGCTACATAACAAGACCTTGTCTCAAGAGAGGAAAAAAAAGATCCTATTAAGCATTTGAAAGGGGAAACTAAAGACTGAGAGAAAATATTTACAAATCACATACCTGATAAAGTACTATTCTCTTGTGTATACAGAATGTTCACAACAGTTTTTAAAAATCCAATTGAAGCCAGGTGCAGGTAGCTCACACCTGTAATCCTAGCTACTCAAGAGGCAGAGGTTAAGAGATCATGGTTCAAAGTCAACCCAGGCAAATTGTTCAAGAGACCCTATCTTGAAAAACCCTTCACAAAAATAGGGCTGGTGGAGTGGCTCAAGGTGAAGGCCCTGAGTTCAAGCCCCAGTACCACAAAAAAAAAAAAAATCCCATTTAAAAAAATTTTTAAATGGATTGAACTGGCATTTCACTTCACATAAGAGGACATACAAATGACAAAAAAAGCCTATGAAAAGATAATATTATTGGCAATTAGGCAACTGCTAATTAAAATCTCAGTGAGATAGTACCACATGCCCATCATAATGGCTAAAATCAAAAACAGTGACAATAGCAAAAAGATTGGCAAAGAATCTGAAAAACTGGATCACTTATGTATTATTGGTCCAACCACTATCAACAACAGCTAAGCAGTGAATCTTAAAACTAAACGTGAAATTATCACAAACACATCAAATGCCTTTCTAGACATTAATCCCAAAGAAATGTAAGCTTATGTTCATGCAAAAACTTGTGCACTAATATTTATATTTACAACAAAGCTTTACTCATAACAGCCTAGAATCCAAAATGATTCGGATATCCTTCAACAGGTGAAATGTTAAAGAAATGGCAGTATATTTACCCATGGACTACCCAGCACTATAAATGAAAACTACTGATACATAACAAACTAGCTAAATCTCCAGAGAATATGATCAGCAAAATCAGCCAATCCCAAAAGGTTCCATACAGTGTGATTCCATTTAAATAACATTCTTCAAATGACAAAGCTTTAGAAATGGAGAACAGATAAATGGATGCCAGGGGTTAGACTTGGTATGTGGAGAAGATAGAAAGGTAGGTATACTCTAAAAGAGCAACACAAGAGATCTGTGTGGTGCCGAGAATGTTCAGAATATCAACTACTGGGGTGAACACAAGAACAGACACAAATAAGACAACGCCAAAGAACTTCAAATCCATGTGCACAAATCCAAGTAAAACGGGGACATCTCAACAAGATGTATCAATATCCTGGTTGTGATATTGTCATATTATAGGTTTACAAAATGTTACCACTTAGGGAAACTGAACAAAATGTAAAATGTGTAGGGAATATCTGCATATTTTTTCTTAAAACTGCACATCAATCTACTATTATCTCATTTTTTAAAAGGCAATTATTAACAACAAAGAAAACAAAATGGAATGCAAGAAAGAAAAGTAACTATACTAAATTATTTGGCATAACTATGAGCAGTCTTCAGTTAGAAAAATAAAAATACTGAAAAATAACCTAAGCCAAAATTACAATGCCTGTACTTGAAGGATGTGAGGGAAATGTGCTTACATATGATGGAAGGAGCGGAAAGGCTGAAAAGGAGAACAATAACCTCAACTTCCAGAAAGTTAATAGGTAATGCCTAAAGCCAAACAAATGAAAAAGAAACATTCACATGTTATTTAGATACAAAGACTTAAAATTTTTAAATCCATTAAAATAGTTGAAAGTAAATGCCTTGGAAGAGAAAGGATTGGAGGAAGAAGTTCTGAGAGGAAGGCCAAGAGGCTTTCCTATAACGAGCCTTGCAGAACCATGTGATTCCTTTAAATATATGCATGAACAATTTAATAAAATAAAAATATATTAATATTAAGATATTTTCCACTCCATCTTTCTTAAAGTTCAGGAACGAAGGGGAGAAGCTGGCAAACTAAAATTTATGCAACTAACTATATTAACATGGGATATAACATCTTGCCTAGACTGGGTAGTGTTCTAAAGAAAGATCTATGTCATTTCTAGGGTTTTATAACCCTCTGTGGCACCTACCACATCTCTAGGCATCCTATACATATTCAGAATACAGTCTTACTTTATAGGGTAGATGGTACATTGCTAATATATAACAAAATCTGATTTTTCATAGGAATTACAGATTCTATATAATAATCATAACTGAGATTATTCTATAAGCCACTCAGAAAAATTCAAATTTCAGGGATGCTTTTTCTCATTGCTCCTCACCAAAAAAAAAAAAAAAAAAATTTAAGCAAAAAGGCCTTGAAAACTGACTTGGTAAGTAAATATTTAATATTCTTCTTTATTCACAAATTAAAGATTCAAAATCTACAAGTATTACGAAAGGAAGGCTAAATTCAACTTAATGAGTAAAACTTATCTTCTGCCATAAAATCAAAATAATTGCTAGATAATGACATAACTCATCTCTACTTCTAAAATGAATAGTGCTCCACTAAATGATGATTTGGTTAAATTTTTGAGATTTCAACAATCCCTCCAGCAATATCCTGTAACATCTCCCTGTAATATGTACGTGGATTAAAAATACACTATTTTTGCAAGGAAAATAATAAAAATATTAGTTTAAATAAGACATAGAAAGTCTAAAAGGATATGGCCAAAATGGTAATGGTGATTACCTCTGAGTACACGGAATAAACTTTTTTCCCTTCTGCCTAGCCATACGATTTTCCTACAATGAACATATCAAAGTTTTTAAGGGCTGGCACAGTGGCTCAAGTGGTAGAGTGCCTATCTAATAAGTGTGAAGCACTGAGTTGAACCCCACAGTACCACCAAAAAAAAAAAATTTTTTTTTAAATGACAGAATGAAAAACTACTCTCCTACAATAAACTGATGATACACTTTGACAGAAATGCTCTTAAGAAGTCCCTTGAAAGTCAGTGACTAAAGCTAGAGGAATAAAACTTCAAAATAAGTGAGTTACAAAGCTGAAAGAGCGAGGGAAGAAACATGATGAATCATGATTTTTCTTAACAAATGCAAATGAAAATGATACCTCAAGTCATCATGCACATTCTTAATTACGATAGTGAAGTTAACTTGCACAAACACCTGTGCTAGACGCTGTGTTAGTACCACAGTCAAGATTATTTTCTGAAAAGTATTTAAAAACCTCAGATAAGATTAGTAGCACTTACTGCTGTAAGGCCTTCATTATTACAAATGTTGACATCAGCACTGTATTCTAATAATTTACTCATGCATTTCTTCTGTCTGAAAAGAGAAAGAGACAGTCATAGATCTAGTACTAGAAAAATATACAAATTACAATTTGTTTACTGAAATATTAACTGCAACCAACATTAGTTGATAATATCATGATATCTGTAGCTATAATTTCAAACTATATTTGCAATATTTAAATGAACACTATTTGAAATAAAATACAAAATTTTTTCTATGGGCCCAAAGGTAATAGAATTAAAAAAATGCCACAATCAGGTATTCATGTCAATGGGACAAATTCACCATTTGAACTGCACAGAAATTTCTAGTTTTGACTAAATAAACAGAATACTAATCTTCATTAAAAAAATACAAGAAAATATAAGGCTAGTGAGTGGGAAATGGATAAAGCAAAATGTTTCAATGCTGCATCCTACAATCTTGATGACAAAAGATTTAATGCTAAGATTAGTTATAAAAACAATCAGAGGTTGAATAGAGTGTAAATACTGTATACACTTGTATGTAAATAGAAATATGATACCTGTTGAAACTGTTCCCAGAATGGGGGGAGGGGAAATAAAGGAGAATGGTGGAGGGGGTGAAATCAAGTATGATACATTTGATATATTGCAATAACTTTTGTAAATGCCACAATGTACCCCTACCTAACAAAACAATAATTTAAAAATAATTTAAAAGAAAAAAAAGCACAATCAGAGTTGAGCACAGTGGCTAACGCCTATAATCCTAGCTACTTAGGAAGCAGAGATCAGGAGGACTGCTATTTGAGGCTAGCCTAGGCAAAATGTTCACAACACCCTATTGTCAACCAATAAAAGCTGGGTATGGGGTCATCCCAGCTATGTCAGAAGCATAAATAGAACAACTGCATATCAAGCCTGACCAGACATAAATGCAAGACCCTATCTGTAAAATAATGACGGCAAAAAGAGCTAGGGCCATGGTTCAAATGGTAGAGCACCTGCCTGACAAGGCAAGTACAGGCTCTGAGTATAAAAGCCCAGTGACAAAAAAAAAAAATTAGAAATCAGTAAAATACATGTATATGAACCCATTTTTTTTCAATTATGTTACATGATAAAATACACATAAACTTACAATCTTAAACCATTTTTAAGATACAGTTCGGTAGAATTATACTTAGCATAAAGTCAAGGTTCATCCATGTTATAGCGTATGTCAGAAATGTCTTCCTTTCAAGGCTGAATAGCATTCCATTGTAAGTACCTACCACATTTTGCTTATCCATTCATTGGCTGGTCAGACACCTGAGTGCTTCCACATTTTTAGCTATTATAAACAATGCTGCTATATATATAGGCGTACACATGTTTGAGACATTCCAGAAGTGGAATTAATGAATCATACAGCAATTCTTGTAATGTTTTGGGAAACTATCATACTGTCTTCCACAGCAAGTCTGCCACTTCACATTCCCACCATGTACACAAGGGTTCCAAAGTCTCCATGGCCAATATTTGTTATTTTCTGTTAATCATTCTACTAGGTATGAGCTGGCATCTCATTGTAGTGTTGCATTTCCCTAAGTAGTGACGCTAAGCATCTTCTTTTGTGCTTATTGATCATTTGTATATCTTTGGGGAAATGTCTAATGTTTATTTAAATAAGTTCTCTGCCCAATTTTTTTACTTTTTGTTTGGAGGTACTGGGGTTTGAACTCAGGGCTTCATGCTTGCTGGGCAGATGCTCTACCACTTGAACCACTCCGCCAGCCCTTCCTTTTTTTTTCAGCTGTGCAATGCTTTAATTTACTGTTCTGCCTGATTTTGAACGGCCTACCAACTTCATTTTACTCACAATGCTTCCTCTTAGCCTGATTCATTCTTAGTTGCTATTCAATATTCATCTTAAATTTCCCCTCATTAATGAAGCCTGTATAGATTTTTCTGAACTACATGGAACTTAATAGTCCTCTGATGATTCATTTTTCTACTGTTATCCCTCATGTAGCAATCAGCCATGAGACAGGTAGTCTTAAACTGACTGAGGAAATAAAGTTCATGGCAATAAATTGTTTATAATCTGAGTAAAACGTTGTATTATGAATCATGTATATACTGTATAATATATACAGCATTATATAGCACTAAACTATATACAGTATACAGCATAGAGTACGTAGCATATATAGCAGATATGTGTATATATATATATATATATATATATATATTACTATTTAACCAACTAGTTCATAAAGTTCTTTATGCTATGAATTATATATAAGTATAATCAGACACACAGCAACTCTCAGTAGAATTTTATTAATTATTAATAAAATATTCAATCTTATAAATCAATAGCTAAAATTTTTACTGATTAAATAAACCTTTTAGGGAGGTGGTACTACAGTTTGAAATCAAGGCCTCTTGCTAAGCTCTATCACCTGAGCCATGTCCCCAAACCTGTTTTTCTTTAGTTATTTTCCAGATAGAGTCCTTCATTTTTTGCCCAAGCAAGCATGGGATCACAGGTATGTGCTGGGACTACAGATGTGCACCATCAAGCCCAGCTTATTGGTTAAGATGGGGTCTTGTTAACTTTTATGACCAAGTTGTCCTTAAACCACAATCCTTCCAATCTCTACCACCTGAGTAGCTGGGATTACAGATGTGCACAACCACACCTGGGCCCTTAATAAAACTTTTAAGTAAAAAAAGAACAAATTATTTTTATTACTATTATTTTTGTACCTGAAACAAAGTTAAACATTTTAAATCAACATTATAATTAAAGAAATGGAAGAAAATAAAGCTCTAAGTACACTCAAATATTTATGAGGTTTCTTCATCCAACATATTGATATGAAAACCACAGAAATAAATTCTCAATAAGCATAAGAAACACACCAGATAGTCCCATTAAAAATAAATATAGGGCTACGGGGTGGCTAAAGTGGTAGAGTGTGATGCCTAGCCAAAAAATTAAAGATACTAACAAAACAAAATTCTTTTTAAACATTTAACAAATATTTTTCAATCTCTATGATGGATGTCACTGGGATTTTGATGGGAATTGCATTGAACATATAGATTGCTTTTGGTAGTGAGGCCATTTTTACTATGGTGGTTCTACCAATCCATGAGCATGGGAGATCTTACCATCTTCTGTAGTCTTCTTCAGTCTCTTTCTTCAATGGTTTGTAGTTTTCCTTGCAGAGGACATTTACATCCTTTGATTTTTTTTTGAGGCTATTGTAATTGGAATTATTTTCCTATGATTGTTTCTCAATCTACTCATTGTTGGTATATAGAAAGGCTACTGATTTTTGTAAGTTGATTTTGTATCCTGCTACTTTGCTAAAGCTGTTTATGTTGTATACAAGTTTTTTGGTGGAGTTTTTCTAGTCTTTTAGGTATAAGATCAGGTCATCCACAATAGGGATAGCTTGACTTCCTCTTTACCTATTTGTATTCACTTTATTTCTTATTACTGCCTTACTGTTCTGGCTAGGAATTCTACAACTGTGATGAATAGGAGTGGAGAGAATGGACACCCTTGTCTAATTCCTGACTTTAGGGGAAATGGTTTCAGTTTTTCCCCATTAGGTATGATTTTGGCAATAGGCTTATCATGCATAGCCTTTATAATGTTGAGGTACATTTCTTCTATTCCTAGTTTCATAGGTGCTTATATGATGAAGTGGTGTTGAATTTTACTGAAAGCTTTTTCTGCAGCTATTGAGATGATCAAGTGGACTTTGTCTTTACTTCTGTTAATATACTGTATTACATTTACTTATTTGTGTATGTTTAACCATCCCTGCATTCCTGGGATGAAGCCAATTTGGTCATGGTGAATGATCTTTCCAATATGTCATTGGATTCGGATTGCCATTATTTGGAGGATTTTTGCATCAGTGTTCATAAAGGAGACTGGCCTGTAGTTCTTTTTTTTGGATGTGTCCTTGTCCAGTTTTGGGATGAGTGTAATGGTGGCTTCATAAAACAAGTTAGGCAATGTTCCTTCACTTTCTATTTTGTGGAAAAGTTTAAGGAGTGTTGGTATTAGTTCTTCTTTAATGGTCTGGTAGAATTCAGGGAAGAATATGTCAGGTTCTGAACTTTTCTTTTTTGGGAGACTACTGCTGCTTCGATTTCATTGTGTGCAATGATCGGTTTAGGTGATTAATACCCTCTTGGCTGTTTTGGATGGTCATATGTATCTAGAAAATTGTCCATTTCTTCTAGATTTTCCAATTTATTTGAAATAGGCTTTCAATGTAGTCCGTGATAATTACTGGATCTCCTTGGTGTTTGTTGTTATCTCCTCTTTTTCATATCTGGTTTTATTAATTTTAGTCTTTTCCCTCATTTTAGTCAGATTTTACCACATCTCTAAAGTTCATCTGGAAGCACAAAAGACTGCGAATAGCCAAGGCAATACTGAGCAAAAAGAGCAACACTGGAGGTAACACAATACCTGACTTTAAACTATGAGACAGAGTCATAGCAACAAAAACAGCATGGTACTGGCCCAAAAACAGATATGAATACCAGTGGAACAGAATAGAACACCCAGCTATAAATCTGTGCTGGTATGCCCACCTAATTTTTGACAAAGGCACCAAAAAATATACAATGGAGAAAAGATAGCCTCTTCAACAAATGTTGCTAGGTAAACTGGATATCTGCCTGCAGAAAATGAAACTACATCCATGTTCATTACCGAGTACAAGTACCAACTCAAGATGAATTAAAGACCTTAATATAAGACTCAAAACCTCGAAGCTAGCACAGGAAAGAGCAGGGAATACAGAAGGCAATGGGCATAGGCAACGACTTCCTCGGTAGAATCAAGCGGCTCAGCAACCAAGAGAAAGGACTGACAAATGGGACTTCATCAAATTAAAAATCTTCTGCACAACAAAAGAAATGGTCTCTACATTGAAGAGGCTATCCACGGAATGGGAGAAAAATCTTTCCCTGCTATATATCTTACAAGGGGTTGATAAACAGAACATACAGGAAGCTCAAAAAACTAAAGTCCCAGAAAAATCAATGACT